CCCCCCGCCCCCCCCCCCCCCCTTTAAGGCCGAGGCGAATTACTATACAGGAACATGGAATTTTGGGGTACAGCAGGGTTTTAGAAGGGTTTCAGGGTTCATCGGTGTTCCACCAGGCTTGCAGATAGGTTGGTTTCACAAGCTTCAATCGAAGGAGGCAGAGGTTGAGCGAACTCGGTGTTGTATTTCAAGGAGATTCTTCTCCTGTCTACTTTTCAGCCGCCCGAAAAGGCATAGAGCGCTAGCGCGCCAAGCGAAAGCTGAGCACCCTGCTGCCGCCAGTATGGACAAGACGCCACCTGTGCAGGCAGGGGGTGGGTCAGATAGGGCTCATGCTGTGTGCACGTCTTTATCTCCCTCTTTCTTTTTCTCTCTCTCTCTCTCTCTCTCTCTCGCGCTCGCTTTTTTGGCTTGTCATGGCAAGAACGTGGTTGAGGAGCAGACCGCCAGTGGGGCAGGGATACAAATTCCGTGTGCACGGTGTCGGTCTTGGCAGCTGCAACATGTAACGTGTCTGACCCCTAACCCCAAACCCTAAACCGTACCAGGTCTAAATCCCCACGAAGCATGTGCCCACCAATACTATCTTAGGATGACTCCTACCCGCCCTACCCCATTGGCCATTTGGGCCCATGGGGGTGAACCAAACCAGAAAAAAAACCCAAAACGCTAAGCCTGAAAGCCCCAAACCCCTCAACTCTAAAGCTAAAACATCATGAACCCTAAAGCCTATAAAGCCTCAACCGCCCTAATAAACGAGCCTCATGGCCCACCTCGCCGCAAAGGAAACACGTCTTTGTCGGCCTTCGCTATGAGACTCAGGGATTGCGGCATCTAGAGTTTGGAGTTTGGGGTTTAGGGGATGTAGGGTTTAGGGTTTAGGGTTTGGGGTTTAGGGTTTAGGGTTTAGGGCTTGGGGTTTGGGGTTTGGGGTTTGGGGTTTAGGGGAGTTAGGCCTTCCGGGGTGAAGGCTTGTAGGATTAGGGCTTGCGGGGTTAAGGGCCTAAGCGGTGTTTATGAGGGGTTTAGGACCAACACTTGCAAATCAACGTTTCTCCATCACTTGGGATGGCTTATAGGGCCCAGGGTGCTTAGGGTCCAGGGTTGAAGGTCCACGGCACAGATTCTGAAGTGTGTGACGTTCTTGCTCTACTATGGCACAGGATTCCTGGTTGACGGATTCAAGATGTTTTTGGTAGCAGGCTCGGTGTTCCTCATCTTTTAAAAAAAGCCCTGTTCACTTCTAGTCTGCAACCTAGTATCCCGAAAGCCTTGAAGGCGGTGCTGGGGCACGGCCCGACACCACGCAAAGCTGAGCTTCCAGCGAACCTTCGAACAAGTTTCCCTGAGTTCAAGAAAACAGCTTCAGCTTTAGGTTTTTAAAGCAGCTAGCAGCAGCAACATCAATGCATTCAGAAGCCAGGCGCAAACGACCAGCACCACAACCTAGACGTAATAACGAATAGATTTTTCCGGGCTCTGCACCAAACAAGTGAAGTCTCAAGCTGCGGTCACGGTACGTAGGAGCACCAGTACTTCAAGACAAACAAACCACAATGTAAAACAAAAAGTCCTCACAACGTTCTGCAGACTCAACCCGAATCTTGAACAACAATACAACTCGTGGCTTTGGGGTGATAACTGTACAAGCCACGATATCCACCACACCCCTGCCGACCTAAGAACAACAGCATAGCAACAAAAACAACAATGATAGTAGTAGTGCAGCAGCAGCAGCA